GAACAACTCAGTGTCTTTATCCTGCCCTCCAATTAGTGCTGTGTGGAGCTTCTGCCCCTCACTGGCCCTCAGACTCTGGTGTCACTGTCCTTCTCCCTCACTGCAGTGTAGCCACAGCACCTCCTGGGTGTTTGAGCCACACCTGGCTTGTGCTCCCATAGGCTTTCCTTCTCTCCTCATGACTCACTGCTTCCATTCAGGTCTCTGCATAAACATGACTTGTTCACGAGGGGCTTCCTCTCCTCTGCTCACCTGAAGTGACCTCTTTTCACCTTAATTCTCCCTTCGTGCCTCCCTTGGCCACACCTCCTAATATGATTACACAGTTTTCAGTTTTCCTTTGCTGGTAAGAGAGCAGGCCTCCGCCCAGCCTTCATTGCTTACTGTTGCTGCCTCCGTGACAAACGCAGACAACTCTACCCCATTGTCAGCAATCTTTTTTCCAAAAGGCAGCACATTCTGCACTTAATCATTGATAGGGAGTCTATTTCTTTTCCTTTCACAAGGGAAAATGATATTGCTTGATCAATTTAAAACACTTATAGTCTTCAAAAATGTAGCTCCATAAAACAAATGAGCATCTGGGGAGAGTTCTTCATATATTATACCTTGTTACCACACAGCTGGTGTCGTATTAACAGGCTGCTTTGTACGCTATTAGCTCTCTCTTTGTGACTGTGGTCTTTGGTTACTGTGATTCGTTCTCCAGTTTTCTCCAATAGGTCTTCGATTTTGCAGGGGTAGCAGCAGCTCACAGATGCAAGGGGAAAATAAAAGCTAATTGTGAAAGGCTCTGTGGAAACATGCCTAGTGTGAATCTCTGCTAGCTGAGGGTAGCCCACATGGATCAGGCAGTGCTAGCAGAGGGTAGCTCACACAGAGCATGAGGTAGTGGCGATGGGATTCCCAGTAACCTTGTGCGGAAGTGTGCAAGCCTGACGTCCCAGCAGCTACTCAGACTGGCTGCCATTGCACTCATGCCTCACTCTGTTGAAAGTGTCAGATTGAAATATGTAGATAAAAATACGAGTTTTCCTACACAAGCATTAACCTGAAACATTGTGCGTTGAAAGTTATTCTGGCCGGTCAGTAAGGATTATACAATGGAAAACCGAGGGAGTGGCTGGAGCAAAGGCTCAGTGGTTCAGAGCACCCGCTTCTCCTCCAGAGGACCTGGGTTCAATGCCTAGCACCCACATGGCTGCTCACAGCATCTGCAACTCTAGCTCCAGGAGATCTGATGCCCTCTTCTGGCCTCTATGGGCACCAGGCAGACTCACAGCACACAGACATACATGCAGGCAAAACATGCACATTAAACTTAAAAAATATCTTTTTTTTTTTTTAAAAAGAGATTTTACTGGAAAACCTTCTCTGGAACATCCCTTTATTTTAGGTACATGTGTCCCTGTATGCTTGCTGTGTGCATATTTTTTATTGTAGAGATTCCATTAAAGAATGCCTATGTACTTGCAAACTGTGTGAACATATACATATACATATACATATACATATACATATACATATACATATACATATACATATACATGTATGAGGCAGGGTCTCACTGTTTAGCTTTTGCTCTCCTGGAACTCTCTTTATAGACCAGGTTGGCCTCGAACTCACAGAGATCCACCTGCCCCTGCCTCCTGAGTGCTGGGATTAAAGGTGTGCGCCACCACTGCCCGGCCTTTGTGCATATTTTTACTTTAGAGATCCCATTAAAGATTTAGTGGGAAGTAAGTTTGTGAAACATCACCTGGCACAGTGAATGAAAATCGCCATCAGATGTGTCTTTTCCCCAGAGTTGGCCTGTGTCTGTATGTGCACACATGTACCTTTAACATACGCCTCCATTTTTCAAGAGAAACATAATAAAACCATGGAAACTCATAAAACTGAAGTTACTGGCATAGAAAATGCAGTTGTTATTTATGAACAGATTTATTTTGTCCTGCTCTATGCATTGAACTGAAGGCCTCACATACTAGGCAAGCACTCTACCACGAGCTACAGGACCCCAGCCACAGATTCAGTTTTTATAACCATTAACTACCAAGATACAAATTTCATATCCAGAATGTCCAAGAATTCCAATGAGTAGTGACAAGCAACAGCCTCCACTCCCCACACTGCAGACCTTCCAAGTTCACAACAGGAAGGAGATTACACTTGTCAGACAAAGCTGTCAGGAAGCAAAGTGGTCAAGGCAGATTCTAACAGTGAACTCTTTCCCAGGGAACACAGGCCGGCAAGGAGGATGCTCCACTTTAATTTTCATTGTGGTGTTTTAAAGGGAAACTAAAAGAAAGGGGGCAGGAGGGGTAGGGAGATGAGGTAGAGCTCAGAGTCGTGGAAATGGAAATGTCAAACAGCCACAAGGAGAGTCTCGAGGGGGTCTGGGTACAGCTTACCTGGTCTTGCTAGCTGGGACATCAGCAAGTTAGGCTGTCCAAACAGACTGGGAGACAGGGACCCACCTCTTTAGAGGTGGGCTGGGACCAATGTGAAGTTCTTCACGCAAACTTGAGTTTCCTCAGCCTCAGACCTTGAGCTCTTAGAATGTTGGTGTTGAGTTCTACATAGGCCCAGGTTGAGGCCTAGTTCAGTAGAAGGCACAGAGAAGCCTGGCTGGAGTTTGGTCAAGGCAGGCAGTCATCAGATCTTGCACTGGGAAGTCCCGTGTAGTTCTGGGTTTCCCTACCCACCTTTCCACTTGCTGTGATTTCCCCTTCCACATACATAGACTTCAACCCACCCTTCTTCTAGGGTTTGTGAAATCCACTGTCTTCTAAACTCTACCTGCATTTCCAGCCTTGGCCTGCCCCATGAGTACTGGCCACACTTCGGCTTCCAGTTTTGCTTCATAGTAGTTTTCCCAGCTCTCCCTGCACAGGCCATGTCTTCCTCAGAGTTTCTTGAATCATTTGCTCAGCCAGACCTGGAGTGTGTATGTGTGTACTCCATGTACTCGTCACAGTCAAAGGTCAATACTGAGTGTCTTCCTTGATCACTCTTCACATCCTTTTTTGGGGGGGTCTGTCACTCAACCTGGAGCTCACCCATTCAGGTAGCATGACTGGCCAATGACCTCCGGCCAGTACTGAGAGTACAAGGGTGTGCCACTTGATTTTTACATGGGTCCTCATGCTGGCAAGCCAAGTCATTTGCCTACTGAGCTATCTCTCCAGCCCTGAGATCTCTGTGTACTACACAAGTGCCAGTTCCTCAGAGACACTTTCTCTACCTTCTTAGCACGGCACTTCTCACCCACTTTGTTCCTGTCATAGCAAAGGTTTCATCACCACTAGAAGTTGCTGGTATTTTATATGTTTGTGTTGGTTGCTGTTTGCTCCCTTTTCTCTCCTGCCTGTATATATCCAGAATATAATACTGGATCTTATTTACAACTGAATACCCATCACTTAGCAGAAGACTTAGCGCATTATCAGGGTTATATAAACGTGTTTAGAACAACTGGAGGCCCTTCATCTAAACATTTGCATTATAAAAAGCATACAGACTTTTTTTTTAATTGCCCAAGTATAAGGCGATAAAAGATGCTAAATTGGCTAATAATGTGTACTGACTATAAATCTGTCATCTGATATATAAATTTGAGGATGGGGAGACCCTGAGATAAGGTCTCTCTATGGAGTTCAGGATCACAATCTTTTGTGTTTACTTTGCTGTCCTGCAGGGCCATTTCCACCAACCATCTCTACAACTTTCTGATCCTCCTGAGCTGAAATTCTGCACGAATTCGGCACTGACCTCCTCCCTCCCTCCTCCCCTTCACTTTTCCCTACTCAGCCTCTCATAGGCATTGTTCTATTTCCTAAGGATTTGACTGCTTCAGATGCTTGGTGTGAGTGAAATCATATGAGATTTGTCCTTCTGTGGCAGAAATATTTCATTTAGCATCATTTTTTCCCCATGGGTCATCCATGTTGTATATAGAATGTATCAGAATTTGCTTCCTTTTGAAGGCTGGATAATCCTTTATAATCTATGGATAGATAATTGGTAGATAGATTGATAGCCAGATAGGTAGGTAGATGGCTGTTTATCCATTTTTAGATGGAAAATGGCCATAGAGAAGCCAGGAATTTGAATAGAGAAGATGCACAGGAAGGGTGGGGACTAGAGGTTGAGCTCTATTGGTTTGGGGATGAGGGAAAAGATGTGTCTCTTGTGGTGTTGAAGCTAAAAAGCAAGGTCAGGTAGTTGCTACTCAGCCTCTCTGAGCTAGCAGGTTTTCACCCCAGCCTTTGAATCCTGAGTCTTACTTAAAAATAGAATGATAAAGACTTCAAAAAGACGATCATGGCTGTGGTAGAGCAGGGGTGCGGGACCCAATGCCCCACCAGGTTGCAGCCTGGGTGGCCAGCAGGGTGCTGGCTGAGGGGCGGCAGAGGATAATTAAAATATCAGTAGATTCATGTGCAGCCACTAAGCCAACAGAGAAATATCAAATGGACACCTGTATTTTTCAACCTTTCAGATCTTGTAAATAATGCCTCTGTGAGCATGGTGCTCACATATTTATTTCCATTCTTGCTTTCGGTTCTTGTGGGTATGTATTCAGAAGCAGAACCCCTGGGTCACCCTGTGATGGTCTCTCTTTATAGTGTTTGGAGGAACCACTACACTGTCCTCCTCAGCAGCCACCGCCTCATGCTCCCCTTGGCAGTTCTGCAAGGTTCCAGATCCGCCTCATCTAGCCAGCATTCCTTCCATTCTGTACCCCACAACCCTAGATTTGTTTCTGCTGGTGGTCATTTTTCCTAGTAGTAGATGTTAGATGGCACCTTTTCGTGGTTGACTTACACCGGGAAATGTTCAACATGGCTTTGCTACTGTTTGGGCCCCCTTGCGTGTTTTTAGAGAAAAGACCAGGTTGGTTGGTTGTTATTCTCATTTTGTTGGACATTCGAATAGTTGACCTCATCAATATAGCACGCAAGAATATTTAAAGGGGCCTTCTGTCTCATTCTCAGGGGTGCGAAGTACCATTTGCTAGCACACACCACCCTGACCTTGGAGAGTGCTGGGGACTGCTTCAAGACCCATAATCTGTCCGTTCATGGAGATGGTGAGTGCTCTGTGTTCTGTTTATTGTGTCTATTAGGTCTGTGCATGTGGTGACAGTAATTTCTAATTTTAGCATGTTCCCTTGGAGGGGATATTGGCTTTAAAAATATACACATGGAGGAGTCTGGGTTTTTTCTAGCATGTGTCTCTCTTCCCCAGAGGAGAAAAATAAAGGGTTTTTTTTTTGTTGTTGTTGTTGTTTTCATTTTATTTATTTATTTATTTTTGCTGCTGTTGTTTTTGCTAACCCCTACTTACAGTAGAAAGACCTGAAGTATTCCATGTCCTTATTTGTGACTCAAAGTTGATAATTCTCGACTCTGCTCGATGACAGATGGGTCTGGTTTTAAAGTTAACGATCAGGACACGCCACTCCTTCTGTTGATAGAAAGTGAGGACACGAAGGAGGCAGGGTTATGTTTATTTTAACTCCTCTCTGTCTAAATAATAATGCTGATTTCATTTTTCTTTTCTGAAAGGAATCTAGGGAATGTGTCTAAGAAGCTTAGCTGGTAGGGAAGGTGGGACATTGCCAGCTGTCCCCGGGCTGGGAAATACAGAGCAGTATTGGGCAAGGAGCTCGGTGGTAGGAACTGAGTTCTACATTCATTCATTTTCTAGGGGAAAGTGTATAAACGTATGGCTACCACTTCATGATTATTGTTGTAAAGATCAGAGGCCCCGATGCTAATGGGATGGGTGATTTTCTGGTGACTTTTAAAAGTTATAATCAGATTTGCTAAAAAATAGAGGGAAGGTGATGGGTTATAACCACATAATTTAACCCTTTAAGGAGACCCTCTCCTCTCCCATCTGCACTGATACCATGTTCCCTAGGAACACTGGGTGTGCAGGTCCAAACCTGGGTGGCCTTAGCTTCCCTGCTGGCTTTTTTATGGTTCTGCCATCTATATGTCCTTCCCCAGATGCTGGGATTTGGACCGTGTGTGGACAGAGGTGTTAAGCCCTCTTAGTGGCAGGTGTTTGCTCCTCCTCAGTGTACACTGCTGCACTCCTACACTGAGTAGTCTTCAAGTAGCTGCCGGCTCTGCTTTCCTGTGTCTTGAGTCATTTCCAAAAAGTATTTTTGTAGGTCCATGTGGACTCAATATGAATGTGAGTTTTATGAGCATGGAATCTCCCTCACTACTGTGTATCGTATGGCTCCTGCAGTATTGTCTGCCCCCAGTCTATTTCTCTTACTGACTTCTCATCTTCTCTATTTTAATGCTCATTCCTGAAATAGGCCCCTCAGCCTTATTCATTAGCATGCTAATTATTTGTTGGAAATAATGATAGATCTACGTAGTCTGTGTGACAGGAGGTATGAAAAAAATCAAGTTTTGCATCCTAGTTTTCATGGCTGTTGGATTTTGCTTTGTCTAATTTGAGCCTTTGTTATTTAATGCACTTAATTTTTAGATTGTGTTTTTATTTTTCCTTCAAAATATACATTTTTTTTTACATTATAGGCCTGCCTCTTCAAACAAGGGATAATTACTTTTATCATTCAAATTTTCCTCTGTTGGTAAAATTATACATTATGTTGTAATAGCTTGGAAATTACCCTTAAATCGTAATTACCAAAGCAAACAGTAAGAGCTTGTTTTCTCTTTTTCCCAGACAGTGTAAAAACTTTGGAACAGTTAAGACTCCATTCCCTTAATCGGTGTGTTCTTGTTGTGGAACATAATTCCGTTTGTTTTTAAATTTCACGGGATACTTTGGCTTCAACTGTTAACCCAGTCTTACCCCAGGGTCTAAGTGTCCATAGGGACTACTTGATTTTCATATCTTGAATTTGGGATTACTTCCTTCCTTAAAACACAGGGGGGGGGGGGGGGGGGGGGGTGGTCTTGCACTTTTAACTTCACTTTTGAAAGCCATTTTTTATGGGGCATTGTTGGCACTTTCATTTCCTGCCCATCCTGTCCTCATGTGCCCCTTGGTTAGAAAGGAATGATTAAGTATTTTGGCAAATTTTTTGAGCACCAAGATTGAGAGTGGCCTTGGGACATGGACAGAGTGGATTGTGGGAGTGAGGCTGTCCAGGGATGTGATCAGAGAGGCAATTGGCATGAGCCAGGCTCATGGTTGATGCCAAACATATTATACACATAACGAGTCTGCTTAAGATAAGTGGTGGGGCTGGAGAGATAGCTCAGAGGTTAAGAGCACTGACTGCTCTTCCAGAGGTCCTGAGTTCAATTCCCAGCACCCACATGGTGGCTCACAACCATTTGTAATGAGATCTGATGCCCTCTTCTGGCCTGGAGGCTACATAATAAATACAGAATACTGTGTACATAATAAATAAATAAATCTTTTTTAAAAAAGGTAAGTGGTGTTCTTAAGTGTAGAAATTAATGCACAGATGTTAAGTGAGTGGCTTGGAGGCCCTCTCTCTTGTGAGAGGCCTAGAAAAGCTGTGACTGGTCTATTTATCAGTAGTCTGGAGCTATAGAAGCCTGGGTAAGAAGTAGCAGGTAATGGAGTATGAGGAACTGTATCTGGCATCTCCTCTCAAGGATGTGATAGGAAATCTGAATCCAAGGATTCTGCATCCAGCATCCCCTATCAAGGATGCTGCAGGAAGGGATTCTACATCCAGCATCCCCTCTCAAGGATGCTATAAGAAGGGATTCTGTATCCGGCACCCCTTCTAAAGGATCCTGCAGGAGGGGAAATTACATCTGGCATCCCCTCTCAAGGATGCTGCAGGAGGGGATTCTGTGTCTGGCATCTCCTCTCAAGGATGCAACAGGAAATCTGCTCCCTTACATGAAATCTGAGCTCATTTTATGGGATGCACATTATTATGTGGTGTGTTAAGTTCAAATATATTATTGATTGCACAAATGTTATGGACTTGTCTGAGAATCAAATCATTTATGATTCTGTGTCTTGAGGAATTACATTCTAACTTAAAAAAATAAGCAACTTGCAGATATTTACAACATAAGCCATTCATAAATTTGAAATTCCTATATAAAAGAAATTTATGTGCTACTCAGACACTTGGCAGTGTAGAGTTTTTATTTTGTTTACTGCTTATAGTAGAAAAGGTGAGTCCCCCTTATTGCTTTGTGTCTGTACTTTGGAATCACTGAGTTTTGTGTAGATATGTGTATCCTACCAGGTCACCTTTACTAAGGCCCTAATAAAAACAGATCGGATTAGTCCCAGAAACTATGTTGTGTGGTAATCTATAGTACGTTGACCCATGGGAAAGTTGTTGAAGCATTTTAGTTTTAATTTGTGCCCTTTATTTAGACTGGGTTCCCCCACCCCTTGAGCCAACTAAATGTTGGCTACCGTATATCTTAGTATACGCTCAGTGCCCTGTTTGGTTTCCAATACCATCTTGGCAAACTTAGGAAGAGAGAGAGAAAAGACCTCAGTGAAGAACTTCCTGTGGGCATGTTTGTAGAGCATTTTCTTGATTGCTAATTGATATAGGAAGGTGTGGTCCCTGGTGGGTAGTTCCATTCCTCTGCAGGTGGCTCTGGGCTGTGTAAGAAACCCCGAGCTGAACAGGAGCCAGAGAGCAAACTGGTAAGCAGCACCCTCCGGGTTCCTGCCCTGAGTTCCTCCCCTGACTTCCCTCAGTGAAAGACCTGGAAGTGTAAGCTGGAACGAGCCTGAATTGCTTTTGGTCATGGTGTTTATCACAGCAATGGAAAGCAAACTAGAACACTGAGTAACTGTATTCTTACCCAAACAAGCATTTTTTCCTTGTTCCTAAGGCTTTAAGTAAATAAATAATAATTGCAGCCAGCAATTAGCTATCAGAATGCAGTGAACGTTTTAAAATCCTTTTTCGTTTGGGACAGCCTGAGATGAGGGCATGTACTGGATATCTGTTTACACCCTGATGTATACAGAATAAACTATCCAGTGTTTTCCTTCCATATGGGCAGGAGAAATGTATGTCTGTTGATGCACTACACCCTACATCGAAGGAATGCCATCGTCTGGGCTATACTTTTTTTTCTTTCTTGAAAGAATGGTTGAAAATAATCTCAAACTCAGAAGAAACTAGCGAGTTCATTGTCAGGATCCTCCCTACCCCACAAACACATGATAACAAGTTGCTTACGGCATGTTTCACCAACCCCAAGAATCTTAACATATATTAAGTACCTTTGAGGCATTTTGGCTACATCACCACCAGCACCGGCCTCAGCAAGTAAGGCCCGTTCTAATGTGCGGACTCCATGCTGCTTGCCCTGCTGCGGTGATGTTCTGTTTAAAGGATGCAGTGCCTCTAAGTCTCCCCCTTGACTCTCACCAACTTGGCATTTTTAGAGAGAACCACTGGTTATTAATGAGGATGCCCTCCTTTGCGTTTGCCAGATGTTGGCTCATTATGTGACTTGAGAATGGCTTGATGGCCTTGCTCTCTGCCTTTTGAGGGCTTGTGCCCTTCCTATCAGTCAGAGCATCTTAATGTGACAACATCCTTGTTCACTTCAAAGTTGTATTTATTGCAGATGTGGCCACAGGGAGCATTCAGGAGGCTTCGTGTCATTTTAAGGCCTTTCTTGAAGCACTTTCTTGCCCCCTGGAATACCAAAATATTTCCAACCCACTCCTTCCTTGATTGGGAACCTTGGTTCCTGTTCCCATATTGGTCAGTCACTACTTCATGGTGTCTTCTCATTGCTCCCAGTGGCTGGGCCACCCATGGAACATGGTGGCCACTCTCTTATTCAGCTTGGTTGTGACTCCTAACATCTGGCCACCCTTCTGTGGCTTCACTTCAGGCGTGTGCCCCCTTCTCATTCTGCTCTTCCTACGCCAGACAGACATGTCTAAGCTCTGCCTTGGTGTGCATGCCGCTGAAGCTCTTGATGTGAACATCACTGAAGCTCCGAGGTCTTATGCCGGCCGTCCTCCTCTCCCTGCTCCCTTCTCCCCTCCTCCTGTCCCTTTCCATCTGGCTTGATGCCACCACCCAGTCGTGATGCCATCATCACGGTTCCTTCCCTACCACCACACACAGGCTCACACTAGAGACCGCATCTCATGGCTCATGAGCGTTGTTCAGCAGGGGAAAGGAAAGAAGTGAGGCTGGAGTGTCTAAATGCCTTAACTTGGGTGAGATAATGTTCTACTTAGAGGCAAGCCTTGCTGATTATAAGGAAAGTTAGAGCAAGGAGTAAAATGTGGTGACCACAAATCCCTGTATTAGACTATTTTCTATGTAACTGAAAAACCCCCTTGAACAATTACTTCTGAAGTCAAGAGACTAAAGGCACGCTTCTTCCAGTTGGCCACACTGCTGGTCTGAGCCTCCCCCAACTTCTCCACAAGCTCATACGTCCTTAGTGTGCCATCAGAATTCCAGTAGATGAGCCTTTATGTAAAATTAATTTTAAAATCTGTTACCGCGTAAAGGGGAAAAACACACACAAAAAGGAAAATTCTGGAATGTGCAACAATCTTAAATGTTTATAACTTGTTTTTCCCTCCCTTTCTTCTTCAAACAGAGGACTGTTCCTTTTGGCTTCCCTTGTACGGCAATGTGTGCTGCCGGTTAGTGGCCCAGCCAGCTTGTATGGCTGAAGATGCATTTGCGGGATTCCTTAACGAGCAGGTAGAGGACTTCATATATCCTTCAGCTGTGGAGTGCCAAGCGGACTCTTTATAGGCATTTGCTCCAGTGGCCTTGCTGGAAGGGTTAGCTTTTTTAATTGTACTGGACATGAGCTGGGGAAGGCGTGGGGTACAAAGAGCAGCTACATAAGAGGGCCTGCTGCAGTCTGGCTTGCTATGGGGCTGCCGCTCGCTCCAGTTCCCTCTGGTTCCCCATCCCAGAGGCACAGACACAGGATCGTGGCAGTGGCTGTCTTATGGAAACCGACTCTGGCTGCCCAGCACCTTTCACAAAAAGTCCCTTCTGACAGACAGCATTTGGCACAGTTTGGGCCTCTAGGCTTCCAAAGCTGCCTCTGTGCGCCCTACTCCTGATTTATTTATAGCCATAGTTATTTATAGTCAGTAAATAATTAATTGTGGGCTTCGATGAATCAATAGCTTTTTTTTTTCCTTGAAAGATTCCATTAGGAGGAAAGAAAATTTGCATTCTTTTCAGGTAGTCACCATTTTCTAGTGCTCTGAAAGAAGCGAAGGGAAATTATTTTCAGTGTAGAGAGAGTTATTTTTATAATTTCCCCGAGTCCTTTGATGAATTGCTGTGTAACCCTGAGCACTAGATTTTAATAGACTAGCTTTCCCAAATCTGTGTTGATTTATGATTTTGCATGTGTAAAATTGTGTGGTAATAATTACCTTCATTTCGCCTAATGCTTCTGAGAGTTCCAGGCTTCCCTGCTCTTGGATTTGGGGTACTCAGGCTTACCGTCGAGCCAATGAATGGCAAAATCTGTCACATTTTAAAATTCTAAAGCCTTAACTGGTTATGTAAATACTGAGCTGGGTTTAGAATTAAGGTGGTAGTGATTGAGATTGATGGTTTCTTGACATTTTTTCCCCCCAGCAAACAGTAAAAGGTCTGGTTGGCTGGAGAAGGCTGTACTGTGCTCTGAGAGGGGGTAAACTCCACTGTTACTACGGACCAGAAGAAATTGAAGCTAAAGTGGAGCCAACTCTGGTGGTCTCCATTGACAAGGTGAGTGGCCTTATGTTCTGTGATAAGCACTGCACCACTGTGCCATAGCCCTAGACATTTGAGATGCTGTGTTACCAACGGCATGGCGGTTCATGACATTTATGTTCATGTATGTTCTTGACATACTTGAAGTCATAGGGAATATGAAAGGACTGGGGAGACAGACCATTAACTGAATGTCCTCTTTCTTTGTGTGGTAGGGGTTATCGATGGAACAGAATAGCATCTATTCCCTTAGAACACATCATGGTGGAAGTGTATGCTAGAAGACAGCTTTTACAGCCCAGAGTATGACCCCACATTGATATGATTCTGGGATCTAGAGACTTGGCTCATTGGTTGGGATGGCTTTCTACCCTTGCAGAGGGTCTAAGTCCAGTTCCCAGAACCCACATCAGGCAGCTCACCAACCACCTGTAACTCCAACTCCAGGGGATCCAAAACCCTCTTCTGGCCTCTTGAGAGCACATCCACACGCATGATATACACACAGAGACAAATGAATAAAAATACACACAGAGACAAATAAATTAAAACTTTTAAAGTCTTTTTTTTCTGAAGGCATATTTTTCATGAATTTAAGGGATGATGCATAAATGTATATCGTCAGCCCAGGTTATGGCGATATTCTTTCTCGACCTTAGCATTTCTTCTTTCTCGTGGGATGAATGGCCAGTCGTCCATACCTCTGCTGGCATAAGAAAGACTGGCAGTGTGCTTTGAACACGTGAGGGTGTATGCTGTGCTTACAGCTTCCCAATGGAGAGTCTGCAGAGGTCTTTAACCAGGCTGGTTGCAACAAAGCACTGTTGTAACCCAGTTACATATTTTTTGCCTAAAATTCCATAGGGAAGTGAGTGAGCACTGGGTAGATCAAGCTTCTTTCATGACGGTCTGAAGTCACCTCTCTTGCCAAGTGTGGTTTGGATTGTGCCCCACCCTCTCCTGACAGTGCCCTTCCCTAGAATACTTCATTGATGCTTCTGGAGCTAAGTCCTGACCATTTTATCCATGTTCCATGCTTCCTTCCGTGAGAGGTGTAAGTGGACTGTGTGATGGGATAGGGACCGTCACGTCCATTAGCTGTGCGCGTTCTGCTCTGAAGAGTGATTTCACATGACAGTCATGGTCTTGAAGACACGGGGACCATTTTCTTTTCTGACCTGTGTGTGCCTGCATTTATTTAGTTCCGTCATCTTTTCCAGCAGTATTTTCTTTCATTTATCCCAGATTTTTTAGAAATTTTTGCAAGACATTTTATCCCACAGTAGAGTCCACTTAATTTAATGCTTTTTATTTGCAAGTTCTTCATAATAAAGTTTTAATTAAAAAAAATAAAATTTAGTTTAATTCTTTTAAAATATAAATAAGTAATACCTCCATATTAAAACATAAAGAGTGTATCTTGGTTTAGAAACTTGGGCTTATGGAATATATAATTTTATTAATGAAAAATTCATGTGCTTTTTCATTATTTGCCAACTTTGTATTTGGTTTTGCTCATGTGGCGTTCTCTTCAGTCTCTTAGTACTTTGAAAAATTCACGAACGGCTGAAACAGAATGCTAACCATCTATGCCCTTGACCAGCCAGAACCTCCTCCCATCTGCACTTTGAGTCTTCTAATGTTGTTAGTGTGCTTTCTCCTACTTATTGTTTTGTTTCCTGCATCATTTGAATATGATTTGCAAACAGCATCTTTCTTCTAACATCAACATTAACTTTGTATAACCATAACAATATCACTTGCAGGAAGTTTGTTTCTGACACTGTATTACTGTTTACAGAGTGGGTTGCCCCAGTGTCCCTAACATGTCTAATTTTCATTGATTTATTTCTTTGGTCCAAGACTCCTAGGCACCCAAGTTCTTTATCTAATCGTGTCCTATCCTGCCTTTGTTTTTCTTTTGTGACACTGACATGTTTTTTAGTTCAGGCCATATTTGAGAGGGAGGTGTATTGTGACTAATTGGTTCGTTACATGAAGATTAAATAATTTTGACTAGAGATATACTGCATATGATTATGTGTTTAAGTTGGTTTGCATTCAATAGCTGTGTGATAAAAATGGAATTCTGCCAAAGTTCCCTTTTGTTTTGTTTTGGAGTCATAAACCAAGATAAAGTGTAGTCTAAACAAATGGAAGGTTTTAGATTTTATTTCATGTGTGTGTGTGTGTGTGTGTGTGTGTGTGTGTGTGTGTGTGTGTGTGTGTGTGCGCGCACACATGCACACACACTCGAGCTCACTCTTGAGCATATGCATCCATGTTTGTACAAGTGCATGCCCCTGTAAATTCATGGTGTCTAGAAAGCATCCGATCCTTGGGGGCCAGAGTTCCAGGCGTTTACAGGATACCCGGCTGTGAAGTGGGTGCTACCTTGTCCTCATGACTGTATGGTAGGCACTCCCCTGATGCTGACCCATCCCCAACCCTGGAAAATGACATTCTAAAACTCATTTGCTAATTGATAAAAGGGTTTTGCATTGGTCAGCTCACCTTATCTCAGCTCTAGGGTAGGGCATTATCTCTGCTTGACAAGCAGAGAAGTGGACATCGCCGTTGGGCTGAACTTGCCAAACTAGTAAGGACTATTAGGTGACTCACTCTTTTCTAAGAAGGTAGGAAGAGATTAAACCAATGAGCTGGACTTTTTTTATTTATTTTATTTCTTGATGGATGGCACTGCTCCATAGGTTTGGAAAGCAGAACTAGGCTTTTCCTGTCCCCATAGCCCTTCTGAATGGGGTTTCCAAGTGCAATGCAGCTCTGAGCAGAAGGGGTCCAAGCTGGAAGCAACAGGTGACTGTGCAAACCTGTACCCAGTCTTTCCCATCTGAACTGAGGAGGGTTTTGTGCTGAAGCTCAGGTCACCACAGTCAGGGCTTCCACACTTCCTGTCTGAGGCTGAAGCCGCCATTCTGGAAGAGGCAGCAGTGTTGGCCTCCTGACTGAGCTGCCCTCTTCCCAGTTGATGGGTCGGATAGCCCAAGTGGCCGGTGATGCTGTAGTCCATCAGCAGGTTAGAGGAGTGCCAGGAATCTTCATGCCTGGCGAGGCCCATGCTTCTGCCCAGCTCACCACTGTATGTTCTCAGGGAGATGATTTATCCAGGAATTTGTGTAGGTTTAGCCTTAGACCCAGAGGAAACACAGATGACATTTGACCCCTATACACCTGAAAGCACTTTATGAACCAAAAGCTATATCCATTCATTGCCCCTAGGGTGGGAGAGTGGTTTGAGTCTTTGAGATCAGCAGTCTGTTTTGACTTAAATACTAGACATGAGCCATTTCAGCAGGCTCACACTGGAACGTAGTCTCGGAAGTGTTCTCTGGACATGCGCTTTCCTTGGCAGTCCTTCTCCTCCCTCGGCTGAGCCCTCCCTTCACCTCAGAACTTCCCCCTCTCAGAACTTCCCCCTCGGAGTAAGGGCCATTGAGCCAGGCATTCAGATCTGTCATGCTGTGCCAGGCATATTGTCACGCCCTAAAACACGATAGTTATGTAATTGTTTATTGGGGTTTTTCTCAATTCAGAAAGTGATTCACATGTGCAGAGAAGTTGAAAGAAAAACTACAGTGCCCAGCCTCGAGCCCAGTGCCTAGATTGGACAGAACTGGGGGTGTTGGTACTGTCTCTTCATTGGTGTCGTATCTTTGCCGATGTGTTTGAACACAAGACTGACATTCCTCCCCAAGGAACACCCAGACTACTTCTAAAACTGCTCTTTGATGCCTGTGTGATCATGCTGCTGTCGTTTAACACCTGAGAAATGTAACAGTGTCAACCAACATGCCATCCACTTTTAAATTTCCCCGGTGTTGCCTCAACTGGCCTCTTAGCTTGTGTTTTCAGGGCAGGACTATATCTCAATTGGCTTTCTTTCCCAGGCAGGGAGTAAGTGTCTCTCTGGTGCCATGCTGACCCAGGGAATATGGATGGTTTTCTCCAGCCTCTCCTCATTCTCTCTCATAGTGTGATAAACTCATACATTTTTTTTTGTATCTGTCTAATTACTTGGCTTTAAAAGACATGGTAGATTTCTCCTGATTACCTGTTCTCGTGATGTTCTAAAAGCAGTTTTGTCTAACACCACCGCGAAGGCGATGTGAGCAGCTAAGTTTGGTAGCTGCTGCAGCGCATCCATTACAGTTCTCCACTTGGATTGCAGGGTCTGCTCTCTGACTGTAATTCTTGTCCTTTCTAAATAGCATTTCCTGAAAGGCCATGTCGGCTCATTAATTTTCATAGGGAGCCATCTGTGGAAATAGTCACATTAAGGGAAGAAAAGCCTAAAAGCTATTCCCCACCTCCTTTCCATCCAACTTTGAAAGGGTGATTTACTTCAAAGTGATTGCTCCAACTTCAAAAACTTCTGTCTGAATGTTGTTGAGCAAGACACTCAGTGACGGGCACTTTACAACAGTCCCCTGGACACTGCGGAAAGTGCTTTATTAGCCGAGGCCTTGTCCATGGCTGGTGGGGTGGGAAAGAAACAAGAGCCTTGGAAATAGGCAGTCTGTGTTGATTTAAATACTATAAACCAGTCATTTCAATCGTGTATCTGTGCCAAACCAGTCAGTAACTCTACTTGGTGTGATAGGTTATATTGAATTGTCTTGGAAATGCTTTTATTTATCAAAAGCTTTAGAAAGCCCAGTTACCACAGATTGCATGGCATGTTTTCCTGTTTGTGCTAGTCGTTTTAATATCTGAACCCTGTCACCTACTCATTTGTCCTTGATTAAATATAGCCAGAAACAACTGTTTATTTAGTAACCTTTTCCTGAAGGTGTTTGTATCTGATGCTGTTGACAAAAATTGAAAGTAACTATTTCAGACTGGTATTGGCCGTGCCTGACGCCTGACTTAATCGATAGCTGTGCTTCACACAGTTTAGAGGTGGCATGCTTGTCAGATGTGTGCTTGCTCCATCACTAGACAGCATATTGAGAGTCAGTAACTATATTAAGAGGCTCTGGAAAAATCTAATAATATCATGAGAATAGTATTGACTTTTGAACAGAATCATAAGGGCTTTGAGCCGCTTTACTTACTTTTTCCTGACTTACAATCTGCCTTCCTGATTTATTTGCATCAGTGTAGAATGTAGGGGCTCCAGAAATTGGTGTTCCTCATACAATATGAAGAAGAATACAATTAGTTTATACACACTGAAGTCTCTTGCTTTGGGGATATTTGTTGTTAACCCTCTCCAAAGAAATTACTAAAAGCTCTGCCAGTGTTTATTTTCTATCCATAATGAGGCAATTCCAGCATTATTAAAAGGTACCATAATTTCTGTTGGGTCTATTCCTGATAATTAACCAAGTCTCAATTTTCCTTTGACAGTCAGTTCAGAAACCTTTTCTATTTATGTCCTTAATTTTTAATGGATATTTTGAATATATCCATTCTCAGATATTATCTTCTTCCTGCCTAAGATTTCTACAGGAGAATGCATAGAAGGTGGTATGACCAGGATACAAGCAAGTGCTGGATCCAAGCAAGTGCTGGATCCAAGCAATCCACGTGCACCTGTAATTTCTCTTCCATCAAAGCCAATTCTCTTTCAGCCTCAGCTGATAATTTTCTTGTGCTATTTAAGTCCTTATTACCTTGTGAGGTTTGAAATAAATTACTTAGTTCTTAAGTTGTCAATCCAATTGTGGTCTATAGCCAGTTAATATCTCCCAGCAATTTTTGAAAATCACTAAGAGTTCATAATTGACATCTCCTGATTTGTACTTTCTGTGGTTGATTTTTCTGTAAATCTATCTTATATCCTAGGGAATTAATAGAATCTCATCTTTGTATGTTTTTCAGGAGCAATTTGTAATCCCCGTCAAGGAAAAAAATTTTTTTTACCTCTTCAAACATTTTTTTCCTAAGGTATCTCATCTGAATCAGCTAATAAGATATCACCCATATAGTGGTAAATTTATAGATTGAGGAAACTGCTAATGAATTATTTTCAATGGCTGTTATACAAAATATTAACACAAGGTAGGGCTATTAATATCAATGTGGAAGAATTTTATGCTGATATCTTTTAACAGGCTGGCAGTTATAAAAGAAAGCACTGAGAAGGCAAATTTTTCTCTATCCTGTTCTTGTAAAGGTATAGTTAAAAAAAAAAGCAGTCTTTTAAATCAATCACTATAATAGACCATCTTTTAGGTAATAGAGAAGGCAAGAGAATTCTAGGCTGTAATGAGCCCATAGCCTGGATCACCGTATTTATGGCTCTTACATCTCCATTTTCCAGATTTCTTTTTAATGACAAATTAGGAGAATTCCAAGGACTGGTCGATTCTTCAACATATTGAGCACTTAGCTGCTCCTGTACCAGCTGTTCTAGTGCCTGTAATTTTTCTGATGTCAAAGGCCATTGTTCCACCCACACAGGTTTGTCAGTTAGCCATTTTAAAGATAGGTCTGTTGGTGCCTTTGAAAGATCAGCAGCTGTTGTTACCTGCATAAGGTACAACCTGAGAATACATTTTAGTATTGTCCTCAGAAGGATATGTTAGTTTCTGAGATTCTGTGTTTTCCATTGCTGCAACAAATCTCACCCCATAAATTCATTGCTATGCTAGCCATATGTGGTTTTAATTTTCCTAACTGTCCTTCTGGCCCTATACACTCAACCTATCTTGCACTTCGTTTTACCTGATATAAAGTACCAGTCCCTAGAAACTGAACATTTACCTCCTAAGGAGGCCAATCTGGATGCCAAGATTTTGGTGAAATTATGTTACATCCATGCCTATGTTTGGTAAACCTTCAATCATAACGCCATATATTTGTATTTTTTTAGCTTTGGTCTTTGATCATTTATAGAAGCTTGCCAAAATACTTGTCTTACGGTCTCTTCTGAATTTATTTTTAAATCTACTGAAGCTGTTCTGTCATCTAGAACAGTAGGTTTTTCACAGTAACCATTAAGTCTTTTATGCTCTGTGGAGGAATTTCCCTGATGCTGACAGGGAACGATTGAACCAAATTTGACACTGGGGCCTTCGAGAGACCCTCTAAGGCATTTCGTGATGGCAAAGGGTCCTGTCTCGTCTGCATTCATTAATCCAGTGCCTGCCTTTGCCACATCTGCATACACCAGAAGACTGGGGCTTTCTGTTTGGATTATCTCTAGGAAAAAACTTTGTTCCTAGGGAATGCTTGCCTATAATCCCTTTTCAGATGACCTGGTTTACCACAGTTAAAACACCTAACCTTTTGATCTTTATTAAAATTTTTAGAAATCACTTCTCCTATCCAAGTATCATCATAAATGTGAGATCCAATAGTGACTATATTTTTGGATCCATTCATCTGTTGGTACTGATCTTGCCTTTAAATCCCTAATCACCCTTTTGCATTCTGAATTAGCATTTTCAAAAGCCAAGGATTTAATTAGTATTTGTCTAACTTCTGGATCTGATATTATTTTAATTACAGCTGAAGTCAAACTTTGTAAAAAAAAAAAATCAGTGAAGGCTTCTTTTGGTTCTTGTATATTTTTAGTGAATGACTCAGTCCTCTTTCCTGATTCTTCAACCTGTCCCAAGTATTCAAAGCTGTTATATGGCATAGAACCAAGATGTGATCATCAAATATAGACTGTCTCTGCATATCAGCATACTGGCCTTCACCGAGAAGCTGTTCTTGGGAAATTTCAACATCTCTAGCCTTACTTAGTTGTTCTATGACCCTAGATTCCCCTCTGCACTGTGTTTTTCATTGTAATTAAGGACCAGCATCCAATATTGCTGTAACTAAGTATTTCCAGTCTTGTGGAATAATTCTGTTCCAAGTGGCCCATGAATTTAACATCTGCTTCACAAAAGGTGAATGCATACCATATGAAATTACTGCTTCCTTAACTCTCCTGAAATCTAACATTTCTACGGGATCCCAGTTAACTTCTGAGTAGCCTTGGGGGTACCTATCATCTGGTGGTCGTTCTTGAATGGTAACTGGATAAATTAAGGTTGGATTTCTAATATCCTTGGGCTGCCCCTCTTCAGTTTCATAATGCAGAGTTCCTATCTGTGGCCCAAAGTCCTGCCTATCCTCTCCTGCCTAGCTATTGGCTGTTCAGCTTTTTATTAAACCAATCAGAAGGTGCCTTAGGCAGGTGAGGGAGGAGAGAGACACATCTTCTAACAGTTAATCAAATATCCCTCAACACGAGATAATTCACACAATTTACTACCTAGAGATAGGAACGTTCAAAGACCTTGTCACTTTAAAATCATTGTGTTGACCCTGTCTATGTCCCATTGCAATCTAGTAACCATCTGTACTTCCTGATCTCCCAGTGACCACAAGTCAGACCCATCCCAAGCCGCCAGTCCTTGTGTTTCGAATATTCTAAAGGTTCAAAGACACACGGCTGTTTTCTGCATGTTCCCAGGGGATTCTAGAAGAACTAAGTCCTCTAGAAATGAATTCCCCGTATTGTACAGATGGGGTTCAGCTGCCAGGATTCACCCTTTCTTCAGGGAATAAAGTTTTCCTTCCAACTCCATTACCTTCCCCGATACTCACATCCTGGTCATTTCGGGTGTGTGTAAGTGTGAGCTGTTATTTTCTCCCCATTCCTAATTGGTATTTGTAGCTACAGGCCAGAACATTCTGCTCGAATTGCAGAGAGCTTAACTGCCTCCCTCCAGATAGGACTGTATTCACAGGAGCCTCCAGGAGCTTTTGGTGCTTAAGTGAGACAACCAGAGTTGAGTCGTGTCCTTAAATATAAACTACAAACTGGACTCTGAAGAATGAAAATGAAAGAAAATAATAGGAAGTATCTATTTTTATATCAAATATGCCATTAAGAATAACTTCACCCATTTTCATTTTTTACGTGTGTTTGTAAAAATATCTAAATTGCCTCAGCAGCTCCCATCATGTTTCTACTGGACAGTGCTACCCTCAGATAATGGAAAATGAATCTTTTGTCCCAGACTTCATCCCCCAGTAGTCTTCAGTCTAAAACTACACAGAGTTGCTGTTACTACTTGCCTGTATGGGACTTGGGCACTGGCCTCTGGGCCATCTTCTAACACCTTGAATGTCCTACCTGATACCACTAAGAAAAAGATTGAGATTTCCAACAGGAATGAGATCGTTGCCCTTGTGGTAGATTGTTATATTCAGCATTGAAAAAATAACTTGAGATTGGGATATCCGTAAACCTCATGGATCTTGAGCTGTGAGCATTACCAGTGAATGGCATGTATGAAATGACTGTTCATGCAGGAAACCTGTTGTGGTTTTATAAAAACTGTCACATGTTTACTACTTTAACCAATAGCACTGTAATATGTATGACTATTAGAATAAGGAAGAGAGAGACTTGTCTGTTTCAATTTTATGACTGCTGAAAATATAATTGATATATAATCCACATTAAAGCCATGGCACACTGCATTTGCTTTACAGTAATTTTTAGATGTATTTTTAAAGGCAGGAAGCTGAGATCCTAATGGAAGTTATGTTCGGAGAACATGTAATTTAGAATATATCATATACATATATGTGTGCAGCATACTCAAAACTTTTATTAAAAAATCTTCAATACACTCTAGATTCGAGTTTGAATACTGAAAATTCTTTAAATGACATATGTTAGATTTCAAAGCAACAGCTATAACACACAATTTGCATAAATGTGGTAGCTAAGCAATAAAATATTTGACCATTTCAGAACCATTCTCAGATGAACCAACAACTTCTTCTTAATTTTTAGGAAACCAGAATTCAGACCATGGACAAGGATGCAAAGAAAATGCATCATTTCTGTGTCACCAACACTGTTGCTGGGCGCACAGTGCCTCACATCTTTGCGGCTGACAGCCTAGAAGACCTTCAGGAGTGGATGGGTGCCATCAGGCAGCATCTCTTTGATCTTAGTAAGTAGATATTTGTGTTTTCTAGTAGTGTGTTCTCGAGGCTTGGGAGACTGGACACAGCGGTCCAAATATTAGAATAAAGAATTTGTACCAGGCTGTTTTCCCCTGAAGCCTTGGTCATGTACCACAGACCTTTTCCAGTTGATGAGAACCTATTATTCAAGAGTCTCAGTTCTAGTCACCTTCTACTAACTGCAGATGTCATGATACCTTCTTGTGCTTCATCCAGAGATGAGTTTCAGTCCCCTGAATGCTCTGCTCCATCAAAGTAGCACAGTCCAGCACTGTGCATAAAATTTGTCTTGGGTTTCACTCTCCATTCAAGGGAGCCTTGCTTACAGGTAGATTCTTGACCTTAGTGATAAACCAAGCAGCCTATGTGTTATCTGTGATTTTGTTTTGAAAGTGGAGACTGTTGGCTGTAGTTGTTGTTTTTTTTTTCTCTCTCTTCTCTTCTTTTCTTTCTTTTTTTTTCTCTTTTGGCTCTTTGGTGGCTTGCCACCCGGCTCCCAAATAAATCACACAGTCTTATTCTTTCGTATGAATGCCTGGCCTTAGCTTGGCTTGTTTCTAGCCAGTTCTCCTTAACTTAAATTATCCCTTCTACCTTTTGCCTCTGGGGTTTTATCTTTCTCTATTCTACATAGCTTTCTTTACTTCTTACTCGGTAGCTTGCTGTGTGGCCGGGTGGCTGACCCCTGGTGTCCTCTCTAATTCTCCTTTTCTCATTCCTAGAACTTCTCTTCCCAGATTTCTCCTCCTATTTATTCTGTGTGCCTGCCTGTCCTTGCTCCTGCCTTGCTTTTGGCTATTCAGCTCATTATTAGACCAACCAGGTGTTTTAGACAGGCAAAGTGACACAGCTTCACCGAGTTAAACAAAATGGAACATAAAAGAATGCAACACATGTTTGCATCATTAAACAAAATGTTCCATAGCATAAACAAATGTAACACATCTCCAGCCAATACTGCACAACAGTTGACAATAGCTGCTTCTGGCCCATTTAAGGCCCCTGTTAGAGTCAGCCAGTATTTCCTGTCTACAGAGTGCTACAGATTTGTGCCGTAGAGTTGTTGGAAAGCAATGGAGTGATTTCTGAACCACTGTAAAGAGGTGGCATCTGCTGTCATCCGGCACTTCCCAATTCAGCAGGTGTCGGGGCGAAGGTTGGGAAGGAGACAATAACAGACAATGTGTGTGAATATGGCTGGGTACCCTATGGCCCTGTTTCCTTCTCATGAGGTTCCCATGAGGTAAGCTACTTGGCTCTACTCGAGAAAAGTGAGAGCCAGAGAGATCTGCAGTTGCAGCATTGAACTAGGGGAGCCCTTCAAGGTGTCTTCCTCAAGCATCATCCTGAGGCATGTGGTAAAGGCTTAAGTTCCCGTCCAGGTTTGCAGCTGTCCTGAGTTTCTTTAGCTTAAGTTTTAGTTTAAGACCACATGTACATGAGTGAATTCAGGAGAAGCTTATGTTCTGTTGTGTTGGTTTTCTGGGACTGGGTCTCATGGGGTGCTGGCTGGCCTCCAATCTGGGATCCTGCCTCAGCTTCCTGAGTGCTGCCATGGCAGGCATGCAGGGAGAGTGGTGGTGATGAGCACTTGTAGCCCAGGCTAGCCTTGCATTTATAATCCTTCTTCCTCTGGGATTACAAACATATACTGCTAGGCCTGGTCAACAGCCTCCTTTCTTTTGCTGGTTGTAATTGGAATTTTGACCACTTTCCTAGACTCTCTGACTTGGAGAGCCTGACTTACAAAAAGCAAAGATGCTGTCTTAGATGATTTTGGCATCTTTGGCTCTCTTTGGGCATAGCAATAGAGAAGGGGAATTTGAAAGGCTAATCCAGAACATTCTAGTCCGGATGCCAGTGGGGCTAGTGGGAGGGCCCACTTCTAGGTAACTCCTCACATTGTCACTTTGATGCTGACACTTTTTTAACCAAGTAGTGCCAAGGTCCCCCTGACCCTCACAGGTGCCACAGCATACACGGGCTTACCTACATGGACGTTCTTACACACAGGTGTGTGCATGCACAGGTGTGTATACATGCATACACACACTCTAATAAGGTAGCCTTGCATTGTGGGAAGCAGATTATGTGAACCCAGTATACCCTACCTGATCTTGACCTTGTGTTAACTTGCCGGCTCTCATGTACTTTCTGTGTGTATAGACGTATTCACGGCAGAATGCTTCGGTTGTAAGATCACCTCTGACATCAGGAGTTTGTGCATGCGATGATACGGGGTTATGTTCCAATCTTCAGCATGGTTAGCATTCTGTTCCTAGAGCAGCTTCAAACCACTTCATCTCAAGCTCCCTGTGCAGAAATCACCACTTCACAGTGTGGTACGTCTAAGAACATGAAAGAGGAGTGCTGGCCCATTGAAAAGGACTCATTATTTTTTATCAAATACGATGTTTCCCCCACAGCCACAAATATGAAACAAATTGGCTTTTACATATTTATTTAAAAAGGAAGGGCTTGTGTAAGAGGTCAGCTCCAGCTTCCGGATTCAGACCCTGGGGAGGAACCTTTGCCGCTGTGTCCTGGGGGACCATTTCCTTTTGCTTTGCTGTGTGCTAATCAGCATCATAATAAAATGCCCTGAAAGGCTTTTGATGTGTCTTAACTAGTTATGGTAATAGATTCAAAATGTAGGCGTTTATCACCGTATGCCATGACAACAAAATGAATATGTAATTAAGTAAAACATGAAATGTCTTTAAAATCTTCAGCCATGGAAAACTACCATGTTGGACAGATTGAAAATACACATGGAGACTACTCAAAAAAGGAAAAGAAATAAGTCAACCTAGAAGGCTTCTGGTGTGTCGCCCCTACCTTTCTAGTGATGTGACATACAGGGCTGTGAGCCTTGTGACTTCTGCGATGTCATTGGATAGTCAGTCACGTGGTATGCGGGAATGCAAGTCAGCAGAAACCAGTCTTTTTAATCCATAGAGAAGTAAGTCAGAAAACCTTGAGGTGTAAATAGTGAAACAATGAAAATAAACATTGATGATGTCCACACTCTGAAGTTTTAACTTAATGGTTATGCTATTAAATAATTCTTATTTCTAAATTAAAAGCCTTCTTACTGAGGATATAATATGAGGACTTGAATTCTGTTATTTCTTCTTCCATCTGACAACTGAATTTCAATGGAGTTTTGTCTTTCAAATGCCTTGAATACTGGACGTTTTCATCTAAAAAGTTAGAGCAGAGGCTCTATATTTTCACAGTGAATATGAAATTCAATGTGATTGTTAAGGGTTTGTGTGGTAGTATACTAGTTAATGGCCTGGAGATCTTAGTATCTACCCAAAACTGTTTTTTTTTTGTTTGTTTGTTTGTTTGTTTTTTTAATGAATCACTCCTGAAGAGTCAGCTTTGTAAACTGTGGGTTGTTCCAGGTTTTTATACAAGTTCCTTGAAAGCTAGGCTTTACTGATGTGATACATTTTCCACACACACACACACACACACACACACACACACACACACAGAGTACTGATATTGGCAGAAAATGAAATACATAGCTTCACGTTTATATTTCAAACTAGCCTGCTCTTTCTTTCTCTCCTAGGCCAATGGAAGCATTGTTGTGAAGAACTTATGAAAATTGAGATTATGTCACCACGGAAACCACCTTTGTTCCTGACAAAGGAGGCGACCTCCGTGTACTACGATATGAGTAAGTGGGGCTTGTCCCTTCTGAGCTGCAGGGTGACAAAAACAGCATTGTCCACACCCCAGCCTCTTATTCTATTGACATTAAAATGCTAAAATTTTCAGGGCACAATCAAATTGAATAATAAAAAAGACTATGATTATAGACTGAGGAGCTCATGTTTAATAGATGAATTATACAAAATTAATGAGTGCGTATTTTTCATAGTTGAGATGCTCACGATCAAGCAGAAAACTCCAGGCTTAAAAGAATAATGTACTTAGCATGTGAGATTCAGAAAATGGAAAGGTACAGGCTCTAAGATATGATCATATGCACTCGCTGTTTTCTGGGTTTGTTTTGAGGTTTTTGCTTTTGTTTGTTTGTTTTTTGTATTACTGATAGGGAAATATTAATGAATGGAAGCATTCATCTCTGGTCAAAAATAACTAGTGAGAAGGTCTAGTACTTAAGAAAGTTGTCTTTCTTTAAGTTTTCTATTTCCCTTTCTCACATTTCGAAGGGTGTTTATTCCTGTGGGGCAGCCTCCAGGACGGTTCCTAAGAAGTTCATTCGGACAGTGGTGTCCATCTACTCCACTGCTAATACACTTGCAAGTGTGTGTGTGTGTGTGTGTGTGTGTGTGTGTGTGTGTGTGTGTGTGTATTTACAGTCTTAGGTTCCAAGTGATGACTTTAAAATATCAGAGATCTAATTAGTAGACATTTATCTCGGTGTCCTTATTTTTCCCAAGGCAAATTTTACCCAGCATCCTTATCATCAAAATAGTGTGAGGACTTCAGACTCCTGCCCTGGGGCATTTGTTTGATAGATTTTGTCAGTTTTTGCTTTGTCTCTCACCATTAGCAGAGACGTCAAGGGTCTATTTGGAAAAACTACTGACTCATCATCATCTCCATCCCTGTTTATATAGCAAACTTCCTAGTGGACGAAACAAGAGTTTACACCTAAGAAAAGTTACTGTATAATAAACAGTTAAGCTAAAGAGTTCAAGAAGTGCTCATGTGTCCATCTGTGTTCTGTATGTGTGAGCTTATGTATTTTTCATATCCTGTGTATGTTGTATATATGATAGCTAATGTACATCTACAGTACAGTACATGATAGCCTAGTTTTGGGTCCCTCTTGATACAGTTCTTTTTTACAAATAAATGTTCTCAATACTCATCATACTCCCAAGTTCTCGATGGTCATTATAGGTAGCATATTGGTTTGGAAAATAATAACTTATTTGGATAAAGTACATATGACTGTGATTTTTTTTTCCCCCATGAAGTTTCTTCTTAAAATTGTTGCAGGCATCGATTCACCTGTGAAACTTGAAAGTTTAACTGAGATAATACAAAAGAAAATTGGAGAGACTAATGGGCAGGTCCTCATTAGTCGGGATGAAGCATCCATGCCACCCCCATGGGCCGCAGTCTTTGATGGCAATCATGAAATGGTCATCCAGAAGAAAGTGTTGTCCCCCACAGGCAAACCAGCCCCTGATGGGAAAAGGAAGAAGAGGCGAGCACCACTTCCTCCTACTGATCAGCCTCCCTTCAGTGTGAAGACACAGGGCGGCACAGATCAGTCCAAGGGTAGCGAGGCCCAGGCCAGTGTCTCCGGAGCCTCGCCTTCTGATTCCAGACTATCATCATCCATGCATCACTTCCAGAAACCGGTGGCTGCCCCTCGAAAACTTCTCTCTGCCAGGAAAAACAGTTCAGCTGATGATGAGCACACGGACACTAAAACCAGTTTTGAAGGCAAACCGGTGCCGGCTCCAAGGCAGAAATCCATCAGGGACATTCTGGACCCTCGATCATGGCTGCAAGCACAAGTATAGGCAGCCTGTCCTGTCTAAATCGAACTGTAAAAGCTCGGGTCGGGTCAGAGGCATTATACATGTAATGTTATATAATTGTATAGGTAAAGACCATAACAATTTCTATAAAGCCATTAATATGCTATTAGATATAGAAAAGCACCTTTTAATAGAGAATTGAATTTCTCTTTTACTTCTCATTTCTAGAATATAAATGATATCCCACACACACACACACAGAGAGAGAGAGAGCAAAAGAGCAGTTTCTAGACAGTATCCTAATTGTTGGAAGGGTTAATTTATTCCTACGTTAGAAGCAGGCAGTGAATAAGCAGTAGGCAGAAGAAAGCTCTGATGTTTCCTTTGGAGAGAGATCATCTAGTAAAGTAGAATGTGTTAAATACAAGCCATATTCTCATTGTGAGGGTTTTAATACTTAATGGAATGTTTCAAAGGTTTTATTCAAACCGCAAATTACAGAATCCATCCAAGAAAATCTCCCCCTTCAGCTTTCTGGAATTCTCATCTAACGGTTCGCTGGCTCCCCTCTATTGTTTAACTCGACGGTTTATAGGATTGACCTTTTAAATTCCTGGGATAAATTTTAGAATATTAAATTCTTTGTCTTTGACGGGAATTTGTAATCTGCTCTTCAGAGTCATTTCCTTGATGAGCCCTGAAATCCTGTTGACTTTGCTGCTCATCAGTGAGGTGCACGCTTATTAGTGAGAAAAAATGGATATGAACTGTCCCCCATTGCTCCGTTTGCTGTGTGATGCTAATCTCCATTGTGCCCTCTGGAGTTTGGGGAGGCAAGTAGCTGATTAATGTCTTGAAATTTATTTAGTACTTATTTTTAAAAGCAGATGACAGATTCAAAAATTATAAGAAAAGTTGACCATAGTAATTTTCAGGATTAATCCCTTTTCAAATTTTTAATTAGATTTCCTTTTTTTTTTTGAGTAAGGGTTGATGTCTGTTATTGATATTATTCATTAAAAGTAATATTCAGTAATCACATTGGCATCATTTCCATAGGAGGTAATTTCCATAGCAACTAATCACAGTGACCTAAACAGGATTATGAATTGAATGGGGGATAAATAGCAAGAGGATGAATATCTTAAATGAACAAAAAGAAAAATCCACTTTTTATAATAACCCTCTTTGTAAACAAGAACAGCAGAACAGTTTTAAAATGTCATCAGAATTTCCAAGCCAAACTGCCCAGAAGGTGTCAAACTCAGCCCTGAGAGTCTAGGACCGCCCAAGCCCTAACTGCCATCATGCACCATCAGGCTTTAGAAAGTAAACTACAGACAGAGCAGGATCAGAACTCCATCAGTGTGCAATGAACGTTGGACCAACAAAAGACTAATGGAACCTTTCGTCATTGTTAACTAGCAGAGGGGGTTATTTTGTTGGTCTGTTTTGTCTTGTTTCTGTTTTTCATTTCGATACTGTACTGTAACTGCCAGGTAACTCCCAATAAGAAGTGGGGCCTAGGAACAGTGACACATTAAGTCTGTCTCTGGTGACAGTGACGCCAGAGCAGACATAGCCCTTAGTGAATGTAGAACTCTGGGTAGAGACTCCTACACCCATGGAAACCTGAAGAGTAGATGGATGTGGGGTTTTTTGTTTTGTTTTGTTTTCTTTAACTGGAAAGTTCTCAAAAGTTTTGGTGGTGATTGACATTTCAATAAATCAAAGTCAAAGTTATCTTATTGTTCAAACTGCCTTTTTCAAGCCCTCACTGCTAACTTCAACAATGTCTATGAACTGTTGCTACCACTTCTTCTCTGTTGGTTTGTTTTTGTTCCAAGATGCTGCTGGCAAAATTGCTTCTGATCACTGGCCCCCAAGTGCCTCCATCCCCACCCCTGTGCCCTTTATTATCACTTGATTCCCTTTATTACAAGTCAGGACTTAAATACACACATCACCGTCACCTTCCGATTTCTTGTACAAGTTGCGACCAGAAGAGTTTAGGTTGCTCCGGAGAGGGAGAGACATTCCTGGAGACATTCTGGAGGAGTCGTGTTCTCAGAGGGGAGCTTTGAACCAGGTCTGAAATGAGACTCCTTTCCAGAGTCCTGTGGGTGAAGCCCTCTGCGGCCCCCACTTGTTTCCGGAAGTCCAGCCCCATGTCACTCTGCTCCTCAGGTGCTAGTTTCCCTCCACCCCACCCAGATAACAGAGAAGTAAGGACAGGGTCGCTCTTTCCTTTCTTCCTCCTGTCTCGTAGCTCTTCCCACCTTCCCTCCCCCTCTTTTGCTCTTTCCTCCACCACCTGAACATATCTGAAGATGCTGACTTAAGAACTGCTGAGGAAGTTTTCAGAAGTACTTTCTCATTTACTGAGCTAGGACAGAGATGGAGGGGTGTGCCAGGTGATGTGAAGGGTGCCACAGCTTTGTGTGAGCTGGTCCTCGTGTGTCCTTCCAAAGTTCTCTTCTTTGCTCTCAGATCTTGATAAAATTATAACTGGAGAAACTTAATAGAGAAAATAGATATTTTAAATTGTGGTACTTCTGATGATGGGGAGATAAAATCTTGGGCAATTGAATCTACATCTCAAGGTCTAGAGTATAAATTACAACAGCATTTGCAGTGGTATCATTTTTCAATTGCTGCAAAAAAATGGTCATTTTATTTTAATATCTTTCAAAGAGGAAGAATGCTTTTTTAAAATGTAAATGCACTCTTCTCAAGCAAAAAACCTATCAAAAATACCAAGCAAGGCAGCGTTTGCTGACTTTACATCTTAACTGTGTGTAACCCTCCATGCACAACTCCTTTCTAACAGATATGGCTGCGTGTGGGAAACTCTGCCCATTCCTTATCGAGACCTGTCTCTGCCATTTAGGATAAACTATCTCTCACTTGGTACTGTTTATTAAAAATGGATAGCTGTCTTGGCTTAGAGACAACCTGTATAAGGTAGGTAGCCAACAATATCAAGTCTTTCTTTTAGGTGCCTCAGCTACCTACTGTGAATTCACTCCAAAATCAAGTTATAGGGGCCTTTGGTGTAGTTTATGTTAAATGGCAGTCAAAGGCAGTCATCTGTGCAACCAAGGCAGAGACAGCTCTGTTAGCGACACAGCAGATGCTGGGAGCAATCAGGGAGGGGAGGAAGAGGCTTTGGCTTCTGCCATGAAATGCATCTCTTGGTCAGAACTTCCCAGCATTCATTGGTATGTTCAAGACTGGGTGGGTGGACAACAGTAAAGATGTAATTTTTGCATTCTGGCAGTTGTCCTCTCTTTCCTATTATGTTTCAAAGCATTTCTATTTTAAAATCGTGTGTGTGTGTGTGTGTGTGTGTGTGTGTGTGTGTGTGTGTGTGTGTGTGTATCAGAAGAGGTCATCAGACATTCTGGAACTGGATCACAGGTGAGACTCCCAGTGTGGGTGCCAAAGAACCAAACCTTGGTCCTCTGCGAGAGCAGCAAGTGAGCCATCTGTCCAGCTTGAAATACATGTCAGCTACTTTATTGCTAATAATAGTTCCATAAAAACTGTTGTGCAACATTGTTTCCGTAGCTAACCCTGGGGAAAATACCACTGTTGAGTTTCTTAAAGGACTTTTTGTTTGTTTATAAGAACTTGTTTGTTGGTATATTCATTTGTTTATCTGTAAAGGCTCATGTGCCACTGCCCACATATGGAGTCAGTTGACAACCTGTGGTAGACAGCTCTCTCCTTCCACTAAGTGGGTCCTTGGGTCCTTGAGTTTAGTGGCAAACACCTTTATCCACCGAGCCATCTAGCCAGCCCCACCCTTGAGTTTTTAAAAGGCAGGATTTCAATGTACATTTGAAAGTACATTGTATTATTTCCTAACATGTTTATATAATTAGCAGTGCTTGTTTAATTATATGTGGATCAAATGTCTGGATTAGATAGTATTAATTGCATCAAACTTTTTTAAGATCAAAAAGTATTTGAAGGAAATCTAAGTCACATGATTAAAACTTGTATAATAATTGATGAATGTGATTCATGAAGATGTTTTCTGGCATGTTCTCTGAGGTTCTCCCTCTGGGCTGAGCTAATAGAGGTGGATGGACAGTTAACTTCTGAGGGAAGGCCACCCTCAGCTATTAAGAAACTCATCACCAGGCACCCTGAGGTCCTTAATGGTTAAGTATTTGCATGGAATCCTTAGCGAAGTATGTACTCCAAAAAGTCTTTTTAGGTAGTCCTGTTTTTAATTTACCAAGTGGGATTTTCCGAGGTCTGTAAGTCACTAGTTTACTTAGGTAAACTCCTTCTTTTAATTGTCTTCCCTCCTACATAATGTATTGTCTTGGAGCACTTCAGGTGGAGAGGAGGAGAGGAGGGCAAGCCTGCCTGGAGTCTCTCATCTCACTACTTTATTTCTAAGTGTGTTGTAGGATCAGAAGTGTTCTGCATTTCTTTCTAAAAAAACATTTCCATTTTTTCTTGGGGGGAGGGGCTAACCAATCAATGGGCATGGATAAAAACAAAAGTCCTTAAGATTGAGCAAATCAAAAATAAATAAATAAATAAACTTTTATAGAAATGTCTGACAGCATTTTTCCTTCTGTGAGTATAGGAAAGGGGGTTTAATTTTGTCATGTCTGCAATTAAACAAGACCTTGAAGAAAATTAGGTTTGCAATGGGTAGCAATTTGCTTTGGGGAAGCATGGCCATCTCTTACCTGGACTATTAAAGGAGGGGGTCAATTGAAAATGAGTCTGTCTGCATAATTATACCGTGTCACAAACGTGTGCCAAGACACCAAATAAATCCTGTTAAAAGTGAAAGAGTTGTGTCTTATATCCAAATATCTATGGGAAAGAAAACAAATAGGACTGGGGAGGTGGCTCAGCAGGCATGAGGTCCTGAATTCAGCCCTCGGTTCACATTTATGCTTGACAGAGCCATGTGTGCCTGTAATCCCAATATTTGGGATCAGAGAAAAGGGATCCCGAGAGCTCACTGGCCTAAACTCTAAGCTTCTGGTCCACTAGAGACCCTGACTCAAGGCAATTAGGCAAGGAAGCAGTAGAGGAAGACACTTGACATCCTGTTCTGGTCTCATAATGAGCAAATATAGGTGTGATGGGTGTATGTAACACACACACACACACACACACACACACACACACACACACACACGTTTGTGTGTTTGTGAATGGATATGTTTTTATAGAGTTTAATTATCTGAATAAATGCAGGGTTTAGCTTAGCCTAGGATGTTTACCCTTTTCATTGAAAAAAGAAAAAGTATTGAGAATGACCAGTCTAGACTCAATGCAAAACCAGTGGATTGTATATGTGGGATATAGATCTATAGGCTAAGAATTGTAGAACTAGACAGTTTCTCTTTGTGACTGATCTCCTATCCTTAAGTCACTATCTTTTTAAACTATGTGTGTGTTTATGTGTCTACATGGCTTTGTGCACATACATGAATGGATACCCATGAAAACCAGAAGAGGGTGTGGGCTCTCCTGGGACTGAAGTCCCAGGTGGTTATAAGCTGAACTGTGTGGTTGTCGGAAGCTGAACTCAGATTCTCTGTAACAGCAGTACATGGCTCTTAACTCCCCAAGTTCTCATCTTCAACAGTATGTTCTCAGAAACTAGGAAAAGATACTTTATACTTTCAATATGAGTTGTCTGGTCTGAGCTTATTGAAGGCATTCTTCATCCTCTAGAGGATCCCATACATTCCCAATAAATTATCCCACTTAGTTTTCCTCTTCGGCTTCAGTTCCATATGTTGGTTTCTACCTGAAGAAATGAAGGCCACAAGGAAATACAGTGATGAAGACCAAAGTCATACTACAAGGGCCAGTTTAAACACCACTTCTTCCCATCCATCCTCCCAGATAAATATCAGATAGAGTAGATCTCCTATTGCTCTTACCTTCCTAGCAATGTTTTCTGCAGCCTTATGATCAAGTCAGTTCTGTATCTGCCCACAATAGTCATCATCACATCTGTGACAGCACTGGGGGGAGCTTCCTGTACTGAGATGCATTTTTAGTTCACGTTTATTTAGATGGCCACATTACTGTGAAAAGGAGTTTGGAGATGTATCCAGTGGGCTTGCCCAGGATGTCTAAGTCGCTGTCATGTGTAGTATGGGTGTTGGTATCTGGGAGAGAATAAAAACATTCATTCTAGTTAAGGACTGATGATGTTCAAATCCTGTGCTGAGTACAGCTGTCCCTCACCTCCAGGGGGTCCTCTGTGAAGGTGATGACTGTACCACCACCCCATGGAGGGAAGGCATAATATTGATGAACCCAGGCTGTTGATCTGTGTTTGGGACTAGCAGAGGCTCACTTGTTGGGCCCGGTCCCAAGAACATCAAGCTGGTTGCCATAGGTTCTCCAGATCAGGAAAGACATTGGCAGCTAGCTATTCCTGGTCTCTTACCAATTAGGAAGTTGAAGAGGTGAATAAATAGCTTGTCCAAGGCCAGTGTGGCTTAATGATAAACTAGAATCCAGTTTCCTTTGTTTGTAAACGGATGGCTCTTTCTGCTCACTCAGCCATGCTGGTAGTGATGTCTGCTTTTCCTATAGCTTGCCTTACTTGCTAGAACTGACATCCAGGGTTCTCTACGTAGTCCAACATAGCACACCTTCCTTCCACCATGTGGGTCCTGTGGATTGAACTGAGGTCATCAGACCTGGTGGCAAGTGTCTTTACTCTCTGAGCCATCTCACCAGTCCTGTGCCAGTGCCAGCTTTTTTTTTTTTTTAAACTAGAAAGTGAAGCATTAAGTTATATCCATATCAGATACCTCAGCAGGACTGGGTTGATCATTTCTCTTTTTTGTGGGGAAGGGGAAGACACCTGAAAGCTTGTAAAAGGTGACATTTGGGAATGAGTAGATTAATGGGAGCAAAGGGCAGGGGACCTAGGGCAGAACTTAGGTACATGAATGTCCAGCAATATGTAATGGACTGTTTCTCTTCCTCCATCCCTCCATCCCTCCCTCCGCCCTCCCCCCCCCCATCCAACTCCCATGCCAAAGTCTTTCTTAAGTAGTCTATTATAAGAAAAAACAAAAAACACTTAGTACAAGTTTTTGGGGGAGAATAGAAGTAATCGTGGAATATCCTTCACCACGCAGAACTGTCACCCAGAAAGCAGCCCAAGAATTAACATTCCATAAAACCATCAAGATAGAATTCCCCTTTAGACTGATTTCTACCTAAAACAGCCACTAAAATAGTAGAGGATTCAGAAGGTGTTGGACCAAATGTATCACAATTCTTACCAACATCGATGGGAAGACTTTAAGTTTTCTACCATGGATTTTCTGAAAATCATTCCACAACACCCTACAAGAACCAACATGGGGAAGGTGTCCTCCATCTGCACTGCCTTCATCCCTGTTGTCTGTGGGTCTCTGCTAGCTGCCAGGGCATTTAAAGATGGAGAATGGAGGCCAATCTCTAACCTTATGGGAGTGCAAATTAGTTGGATTGATTCCTGGAGTTCAGTTCCAGTGTCAGAAAAAAAAAGAAAGAAAGAAAGAAAGAAAAAGCTGTTTTTAATGATCAATAACCAGCAATAAAATGATTATTTTACTATGTAATTTTGCCCCCTCCCAGCTGTGTTCCCAAATAAAATATCACTTAAACCTTCACTAAATAAAATAAGATCTATATCAGAGGAGGAAGTGAGTGAGGAGCATTTGTCCACCCGTGATCCATGGTGCTTCCTCCACCCCTCTCCCCAGACTTCCGGTGGTTTCTTTGGGGGACTTTTACATCTCCCAGAATAGTTTGAAGAATACTGGTTAAATGTATGTTGCTTGATCAGTCTTCCCCATCCCCTCCCCCACAAGACAGGGTTTCTCTCTGTAGCCCTGGCTGTCCTGTAACTCACTGTATAGACTAGGCTGACCTTGAACTCAGAGATCTATCTTTGCCTCCTGAGTGCTGGAATTAAAGGTGTGTGCCACCACTGCTCGGCTTTGCTTGATTAGTCTTAATGAAGTGTTTTCACTAGTTGTTCAATGTAAAAGCTGATGCTCTTTAGAGTGGCTAACTCCACTCTTCCTGGTTGCAAAGAACCTTATAGAATCCCACATTTTAATGACTTATTACTGAACTATTTGGTTGAAAACCCTAAACACACTTTGCATACACCGGAAAAAGAGATTTTTCTTTTTAAAAATTGTGGGTGTTTTTGGAGACAGAGTCTCATGTAGCCCAGGCTAGCCTGGAATTTGCCATCTTCTTGCTTCGAGCTCCCCAGTATTGTAAAGACAGGCATCACTGCACTGGCAAGCATAGATTTTTCAATAAGGGCGAGCTATTCTTGGGATTGGGAAGATAGTTTGATGGAGGAGAGTGCTTGTTATCCAAGCATGAGGACTTGCGTTTGTATCCCCAGCCCATGTCAAATGTTGAATGTGGCCAAACACATCTGTAACCTCAGGACTGGTTGGCGTGGTGGCAGGATTGCTGTGAAGGGACCAGCTTCCCTTTTGGCAGCCATAACGGCCGAACACGTGCTTCTATGACCTTGTCCTAGACACGAGAAAGTCAGATGCCTGCCTCGTGACAAGGAACCAATCAGAAGTTAGCTGGTGGCGCTATGCGTTACGACCCTGGGTGTGCTTTACGGACAAGCGCACAGCAATGATGCACAAAGTATGGCAACCACCCTGGGAGAGCCTATGGGCCATAACAACCAGTTGACCAATCAACACAGGGCAAGCCCTCCAAGCCTGGAGGCACCCCAATCGTGAGCCTGTGTGTCCCCCTAGACACTCCCCTTATGCTGTCCTATAAGATCTCTTGGGAGGCCCTAGGAGCCGTCTTTTCTAGCCATCCGCCATGGCGGGTGGGTGAAAGCCCCGAGCTATCATGGGGTTAGCTCGTTAAATTACAATAAAGCCTCGTGCAGTTTGTATCAAGCTTTGGAATCCGCCTGGTGATTGGGGTGACCGAGAACGTGGCCTGGGATCCCGGGTACTTGAGTTTTCCGGGGGTCTAACAGCTGCAGCTTTCTGGCCACCAGCCTAGCCTTTACGTCCTGTCTCCCACACCCATACTGCCATACATATACTACACACACATACACACAAAGAATAATTTAAAACAAAGCCGTAAAGCTATGTCATTTCAGCACACAGATAGGGTTTATATTGCTTTTAGTTGTGAAGGGATTGCAGGGGAGGGCGCCAAAAGTATTAAGAGCATCCTAATGGTTTAATTACCTACTGGTCTGCTGCCCCAGTGATACCTGGGACTATGATCATAGTTGGAGTGTGTTCCTTCAGTCCCATTTCCGCCCTCCATATTCACTCCTTCCTCAAATCAGGAGTTTCCTTTGTCAATCTCACTTGGAAGCAATTCTTCACCTACCCACCCATAACAATAGAGAACAAGTGCAAACTGCAGGCATGCAGTTACTGTAACCACCCTTAACTGGGCTATGGGGAAAGGAGCCTTCTTTCAACTCTTCATTGTCCAACCGGCCACAGCCAGTGAAAACTTGAACTGATTTGTAGAATCAGTTCAAAGCAGTATGAGAAGAGTGTGAGAGTGTGTGTGTGTGTGTGTGTGTGTGTGTGTGTGTGTGTGTGTGTGTGTTAATAACAGGAGAGAGACAGAGACAGAGACACACAGAGAGAGACAGAGAGAGATGGAGTGATGACTGACAGCCATGTTGTCAGAAATGACTGCCCTTTCTCGTGTTCAGCACATATTATAGTCTAATAGTAAGAGTCTAGTAGCCTCCACAAGCTGGCCTTCAGCTGGCCAACTTAAGCCTGTTAAGGCCTAGACCT